GTACCACCAGTACCACCAGTACACCAGTACCACCAGTACCACCAGTACACCAGTACCACCAGTACACCAGTACCACCAGGACACCAGTACCACCAGTACACCAGTACCACCAGTACACCGTCACCACCAGTACACCGTCACACCAACACAAGGGGGAGGAAGTACAACAATACAATGATATCAAAATGTCCTCAATTACCTTGTCAAATGATATCAAAGAACTCAAAGGAGTTTTCTTCCTCAAAATGGTTCTAATTCGAGTTGATTTCTAATGAAATTATGATGATGTTATATTTCAAGAAATAGATTTTCAAACCGAAATTCAAATTTAAAACTTTATTCATAAGAGTTTATACGTTTCTAGTTATTTACATATAATTATACATAATTTACCTGAGAGAAAATAATATAAGAGTTATGAATAATTCAGTCATATTCTTTGTAAGTTAATTACGTATATCTGATAAGTAATATGATATGTATTTTATAAGGGATAGTATATATTCTCCCGTTATCTTGATATCAAGTATTTTAGTGATATCTTCTATTTTGCCTTTCTCTTTCTCACTCTCTACTCTCTCTCTCCTCTCTCTCCTCCTCTCTCTCTCTCTCTCTATCTCTCTCTCTCTCTCTCTCTCTCTCTTCTCTCTCTCTCTCTCTATCTCTCTATCTCTTCTCTCTCTCTCTCTCTCACCTCTCTCTCTCTCTCTCTCTCTCTCTCTCTCTCTCTCTCTCTCTCTCTCTCTCTCTGTCTCTCTGTCTCTCTCTCTCTCTCTCTCTCTCTCTCTCTCTCTCTCTCTTCTCTCTCTCTCTCTCTCTCTCTCTCTCTCTCTCTCTCTCTCCGTCTCTCTCTCTCTCTCTCTCTCTCTCTCTCTCTCTCTCTCTCTCTCTCTCTCTCTCTATCTCTCTCTCTCTCTCTCTCTCTCTCTCCTCTCTCTCTCTCTGTCTCTCTCTCTCTCTCTCTCTCTCTCTCTCTCTTCTCTCTCTCTCTCTCTCTCTCTCTCTCTCTCTCTCTCTCTCTCTCTCTCTCTCTCTTCTCTCCTTTTCCTCCCCTCCCACCCCTCTCTCTATCTCTCTCTCTCTCTCTCTCTCTCTCTCTCTCTCTCTCTCTCTCTCTCTCTCTCTCTCTCTCTCTCTCTCTCTCTCTCTCTATCTCCCCCCCCCCCCCCCCTCTCTCTCTCTCTCTCTCTCTCTCTCTCTCTCTCTCTCTCTCTCTCTCTCTCTCTCTCTCTCTAGTTTTACTGCTCCACCTTATTCCTTCATACCATCTCCCCGATCTCTTTCATTCTCCATTTATCTCCCCCTGTCTTTCCTTTCTTTGCTGGTGATCTGTTTATTGTTCCTTGTGTATTTCTTTGTTTCATTCTATCCATGTTTCATCTTCCCCTTCTTCTCTCGTTCTGGTTCCATCCCTTTCTGGCCTCTCTCATCTCCATAATCTTCTAATCCTTCGTTATCTTCCTCTTCCGTATTCCTCTCTGTGTCCTCTCCCTCCCCCCCTCTCTCCCTCTCTCCCTCTCTCCCTCCCCCCCCTCTCCCTCTCTCCCTCTTCCTCAACTCACAACTTTTCTGGGGATTATTTTGGTGGTACAATTCACGACTCCCCTCCCCCCCCCCCCCTTTCCTTCCCTCTCCCTCCCTCCCCCCCCCCTTTTCAATCTCTCTCCTCCACCCCCTCCCCCTCTCACTCCACCCCCCCCTCTTCCACCCCCCTTTCCTTCTCCAAAGTGGCAACACAGCTTCCCTTTGTATCGCCTCAATTTTTACAACCATTTCCACACCTGTTATCGTGTTATCATAATACATATAACCTCACCCCCAAAAGACTATATGAATTGTCTCCCTATACACTATATTTTGTTTGTATATACGTCATTTGAAGGGGGGATGGTGTGTATATATTATTCAGGACCGGGACGAGAAGTTTTGGGAAGTTGGGAGAGAAAGGAGAACATTTTGGGCAAGGATGAGAGCGCGGGACTGGGAAATGAGGTTACCAAGAAACAAAAAGGTTAACAAGGGGGAAAATATCAATTGCGTTGTTGTGCTGATACCACATACAGAGTGTGTGTGTGTGTGTGGGTGGGGGGGATGTGTGTGTTGTGTGTGTGTGTGTGTGTGTGTGTGGTGTGTGTGTGTGTGGTGTGTGTGTGTGTGTGTTGTGTGTGTGTGTGGGTGTGTGTGTGTGTGTGTGTGTGTGTGTGTGTGTACTCACCAAGTTGTGCTTGCGGGGATTGAGCTTTGGCTCTTGGTCCCGCCTCTCAACTGTAGGCGGGACCAAAGAGCCAGAGCTCAACCCCCGCAAAACACAACTAGGTGAGTAACACACACTTAGAGCCTAGTAGGCTCAGGAATCTGTACACCAGTTGATTGACAGTTGAGAGGCGGGACCAAAGAGCCAAAGCCCAACCCCCCATACATTCATACATTATACAAAAATACATCCATTCTCCAAAACAGTTCTATCCAGCCTACAAGCCAAAAAAATGTAACTCGCGTCATTGGATTAGGATAAATCAATACCTCAATCCACTTAATACAGAATTATGAAGTTGGGAGAAAACGCTAAATTAATAAACTAATTTATTGACTCACTCGCCAGAACTCTGATTCTGTTTTGCTTTTTTTTCCTTCAGAATTGTTGATGTCTATGAGAAGAAGGAATAGGCTTTTGTGCAAATATTTTGTGGGGTATATCTATATGATATCTGTATGTGTGTATGTGTACATTACGTACTGCTGTAGTACACCAGCAGGAGGGTGGCTGTGTGAGGGCCCCTGCTGTAGTACACCAGCAGGAGGGTGACTGTGTGAGGGGCCCCTGCTGTAGTACACCAGCAGGAGGGTGGCTGTGTGAGGGCCCCTGCTGTAGTACACCAGCAGGAGGGTGGCTGTGTGAGGGCCCCTGCTGTAGTACACCAGCAGGAGGGTGGCTGTGTGAGGGCCCCTGCTGTAGTACACCAGCAGGAGGGTGGCTGTGAGGGCCCCTGCTGTAGTACACCAGCAGGAGGGTGACTGTGTGAGGGCCCCTGCTGTAGTACACCAGCAGGAGGGTGGCTGTGAGGGCCCCTGCTGTAGTACACCAGCAGGAGGGTGGCTGTGAGGGGCCCTGCTGTAGTACACCAGCAGGAGGGTGGCTGTGTGAGGGGCCCTGCTGTAGTACACCAGCAGGAGGGTGGCTGTGTGAGGGCCCTGCTGTAGTACACCAGCAGGAGGGTGGCTGTGTGAGGGGCCCTGCTGTAGTACACCAGCAGGAGGGTGGCTGTGAGGGGCCCTGCTGTAGTACACCAGCAGGAGGGTGACTGTGAGGGCCCCTGCTGTAGTACACCAGCAGGAGGGTGACTGTGAGGGGCCCTGCTGTAGTACACCAGCAGGAGGGTGGCTGTGAGGGCCCCTGCTGTAGTACACCAGCAGGAGGGTGGCTGTGAGGGCCCCTGCTGTAGTACACCAGCAGGAGGGTCGCCACTACTCCGTCAATAACTAGATCTAGCGAGCTGTTGCGATTCGTTAGGTTCATCTGGACAGAGGGAGAGAGGGATGACTATTGGATTAACCCCACTATGGGGGCAGGGACCAGGCATGGTGGTACCAGGCATGGTGGTACCAGGCATGGTGGTACCAGGCATCGGAGTACCAGACATGGGGGTACCAGGCATGGGGGTACCAGGCATGGGATGGAGTACCAGACATGGGGGTACCAGGCAT